ATAGAGGGGAGGCGGGGGGGGGGGGGTGGAAGGAAGATGGTAGAGAGACATGTGACGTTGACAGGAAAAATGAAAAGAATTGGGGATGGGAAGTGGAGGTGGAGGTAGATGCGAGGAGAGGGGGGGGTGGGGGGAGTGTCAGGAGAACGAAGAAAGAAAAAAATGACAAGAGTTATGAGACTGGATTATTTATATCACTAGGGCCTTAATATTTAATATAAATATAATATTAAGTATTTTCAATATGGGCAATTTTAGGCCATAACCAGCACAATTTAGATCACTTAGGGGTTGGGCTTATAAACCGTGCCTGCTCAGGCCAACCCGGTCTGAGAGGGGTACAAAGCCCCTGCAGAAAGATTGAGATAGTTTTAGTTTGTTTTTGTAAGTGTTTTACGGCGCTCGCAACTGCATAAGGTCATATGAGCGCGCGGAACACATTAAACTTTTTCAGTTGGTAGGAAATTTTGAATTTTTGTAAATCTTTCCTACCAGAAGATCAGGGGTGTGGCTGTAAAAACAGCAGTAAGAAGAAGCCAAGGAGTAGCAGTAGAAAGGCTGTAGAAAGAACCAGGAGCCCAGAGGAAGGGGCAAAGGAGGTGAGGGGGTGGGGGCAGAAAGTGGAGACAAAAGCAGATGACAGAACATTGCTAGAGAGCAGGACATGAGGTGAAAGGAGACAAATTTAAAGAAAATTTTTTTTCTGTCACTACTCGGATTCGAACCCGGGAACTTTGAATGAGAGGCCAACACCTTAGCCTCTAGGCCACGAGAGCCCCCCCTAGTTTTAGTAAGAGTTTTAAGGCCCTTGCAACACTAATACGTGTATGTCATAATATATAAGTGTTTCAGATTAGAGGTGTTACATACAGAGAGTAACATACAAAGAAAATGAGGAGGAGAGATACAGACGATTGATGTGTTCCTTCCTTTCTATCAAACATCTATCGTCCTTATCTCCCCTTCTTCTTTTTTATGTTTGTTACTCTCTTGTAACACCTCTAATCTTCTGGCGTTCATATGACCTTATGCAGTTGCGAGTGCCGTAAAACCTCTTCTAAAACTAAAAACTAAAAAAGATGTGAGGAAAGAAGGAGCAGACCACAACAGAGCACCTGCCAACCACTCTCCTACCCATGTAAGGACACAAAGAGAAAACCACAGCATAACACCCACCAACCACCCGCCCACTCACACAGAAACAAACGACAAATGTAAAAAAAAATATAAGGTGGTGTTTTTGAAATACAATGATCTGTCCCCGTCGTTTTATGCAAGGAAAATTCTGAAATTATGCAAACTGAGCCAAAAAATGTGAAATTATGCGATTCCGTTAATTTTAACAAAGAATGATAAAGGAAAATAATCAGAAATTATGCAAAAAAATGATCAGATTTTGCTAAATTACGCGGGGTGCATAAAACCACGGGGACAGAATGATGGATTGAGTAGGTGATTTGCAGCACTATAGACTCAGTTTTGGTCATGTAAGGGATAAAAATCATTTTACCGCCACAAAATAAGTACTGTATTGACTCACTTGAGCCTATTCCCATGTATATTTACGAGGCGCGCCGTTGGCCCAGTGGCCTAATCCCGTGTATTTGCGGGATGCGCTTTATCAATCGATATCTTTGGTGTTTTTCAATTACAAGCTAAGGGAAGCAGTTTTGAGTGAAAAATAGCTCAGGCTCAAGGGAGTTAACTCTTTAAGGACGCGTCAGACACATTTGTCAGATCAAAAACAGATCAAAGTCAATGTTGGGGCACATTTCGAGCCCACATGCACAAACCAGAAACACAAATTTGGAAATTTCATATTGATATAAATGTTCATCCCTGCCTTTTTAAGTTTCAGAAAAAGAACTGAACCGGAAAATTCGTATGGATATAACGAGGTCAAGCCTTTTTCAAACATTCGAATGGGCAGGATCCGCGTCTTCTATGAGTTTTTTTGATTGAGTAGATGTTTTACGGCACTATCGACCCAATCTTCTATGAGTTAAAAGTACGATGGACACACAACTGAAATACATGCTGAAGTGATCTAAACAAATCCACGACTCACGTCAGAGATGAGCGATCGTAGCAGCAGCAGCCGATACACCTCCAGGAAGTCCGACTTCTCTCTCAAGGTCAACAGCTTCTGGTCCATGGCGGTGACGGCCGCTCGCATGTTGGACGTGCTCACGGGGTTACCTCCCCTCAGAGGCCCGCCGTTCTGGTAGTGGAAGGCAGCCTGTAGGATTTGAGGCATTTGTTTTACTTAGTAAGAGTTTTACGGCACTTGTAACACTATTAGGTCATATAAGTGCCAAAGATCGAGGTGTTACAAGAGTGTAACAAAAGAAAAAGATGAGGGGAGATAAGGCAGCCTGTGGGGATGGAATCATTCATTTTAGTAAGAGTTTTACTGCACTTGCATTGGGTTTTTTTCATTTTTTTGTAAGAGCTTCACGTCACTCGCAACACAGTTAGGTCATATAAATGCCAAAGTTTAGAGTTGTTACAAGAGAGTAGCAAACACAAAAAAGAAGGAGGGGAGATAAGAAGATAGCTGTTTGATAGGAAAGAAGGAGCAAACCACACCAGAGCACCCGCCAACCACCCACGGAGGAGAGATAAGAACGATAGATATTTGATAGAGAAGAATGAGCAAACCCCACCAGAGCACCCGCCAACCACCAACAAACAAACCCGCACTCACCCTCTCTGAGGAAGAAAACAAAGTGGAGTAGAAGCTGGAAGGGTCGTCCTCAAAATATTTCTCTGACCTGAGGAGGACATGGACAAACAGCACAGTCTGTCAGCGAGGAGATATGACAAACATTAGAATATAAGATACAAAGGATGAACATTATGTATAATATACCTGTTCCTTTCAATGAGATATATGACAAATGATGATGATGACGATGACAATCTTTATTCATCTCGCAGGGAGAAATTTGTTTTGGTCGTTAACAATGGCAGTAGACGTTACAAAAGTTAGACTTAAAGGTGCACTCACGCAAACGCACAACAAGACAGGACATTAGGCCAAGTAAATACATGTCTCACGGGCTGGGACAACCCGCTCCGTAAAACATTCATTCTCTCTCTCTCTCTCTCTCTCTCTCTCTCTGTTTCATTTGTAGCACTGTGTGTTCAGTAAACATTATAATATATATAATACAAAAAATAAGCATTACGTATGATATACAAAGTCCTTTCGATGAGATCTATGACAAACATTATATGATACAAATGATGAACATTTTGCTCTCTCTCCAGAGTAATACTCCATCTGTCTCTGTCTCTCTCTCACTCTCTCTCTCTCTCTGCCCCCCTCTCTCTGCTCCCCCCCTCTCTCTGCCCCCCCCCTCTCTGTCTCTCTCTGTCTCTCTCTCTGTCTCTCTCTCCTCTCTCTCTCTCTCTCTCTCTCCCCCCCCCCCCACTCTCACTCTGCCCCCATCCCCCCACTCTCGCGCTGGGACGGAACCCGTAATTTTAAAAAAATCCACCTCCAGTACAGGGTAAACACGAGACGGACATGAAGGATGCGGGTAAAAGAAGAACCGATAGGAAAAAGAAAAAAAAAGTATAGCCTATATCCGTGTCGACTTCCTCTACACGGACAGCGACTGAAACAGCAGAGAGAACGAGGAGGAGTGAGACAAGAAAAAAACGAGAACGACCATAGAAAGAATATTTTTATTAGAGAGGGAAGTAAAGGACGATAACCACGACACACGACAAACGACGAGACAAGCGCAGAAGAAACAAGAAGAGAATATAAGAAGA